TGTGATTTTTTTTGTAATTCCTTATTGAGATATCTTTCATATTTACACGAGAATAGGAACCACTGTTAAACGAACGCAATTTTGATTGACCCTGAGATTGTATTTCATCATGACGACTAAGCAAAGTATTAGAAATATTCATCGACTGGATATCAAGTTCATTCACTGCCTCGTAGTTAATACACGCAGTTCTAGCATCTTGAAAGGAACAGTTGGGCATTCTTAACAGCTCTCTTTCCAAACCCGGTATGTTGATTCCTGCGATTAATCGGTCTCTCAGTTGCACATGAAGTTGATCACCAAAATTACATTTGGCAGCTTGTTTCTGCAATTCAAGAATGAATTCTTTAACCTTTTGGTCATTTCGACGAGTCATCTTATGAAATTTTGCCCTTTCACGGCATTCAAAACTAGTGCACTTTACATGATTTAATAATAACTCCTTAATAGTTGCATAAGGAAGTGAGATAGGTTTTTCTGGATATGCCAAGGTTTTCAATAAGCTGTATGCTTCTTTTCCGATGAATGTCAGGAAATAAGCCACAATTTTATCACCTTTAACATCCTTCTTGGTCATGCTCCAAATTTCAAACCTTTCCAAATAGTCCTCAAAAGCTTCAGAAGTTGAATGAATATCTAACTGTTCCATCGCAGGCTCCATCGCGACGCCAATATGATAATTAGAAGTATTTGAATTATAGTATGAACTAAGAATCCCAGGGATAACGCAATTGAATCAAGAAGTACTACACAAGCACTAACGAATGTACTGTATTTAGAATTCGAAATCAAACATTCAACAAGTACAAAGGAGTCATTAGTTCATTTAAACACCACAAAATCTCAAAACTGTGGATTAATTATAATACGTGATCGGTAACAAACTAGATAGACTGAACCAGATCATCGCAAAGATAATGGATTGCGAATTGTAATTTAAACATGTAAACGACTGGACTTAACAAAATGACAGACCATTAGTGTAACAAAAATCTCTCCGTGGGACTAGTACTATTCAGAGCATGAGACGTGCTAAGCTTCCTTGTGAGCGATTCACTGATAGTTTACCCATACATTGAAATCAATGGACAGGGCAAGTATTAGTAGTTCAGCAAATTACTAGGTTTTAGGTTACTTCTCCATCAGAAGTCTTCTTTTATGACAAATACAGATATACTTAACCCAAATGTCTTATTTGTTCAGAGTCTGTTGATTAATACTGAATTCTAAACAAACTAACAAGTTACACGTGTCCCTAACAAGAAAAACTAATCAATGGATATTGAATACTTTGTTAAAATTCATTAATTACGGAAGTAATGGTCAGTAGGTGTAATTAAACTGGAGCATCGGTCGCTTATTATGCACGTCATGGTGTGTGGACAAATTACTAACCTGATATAATCCTATCCGTACTTTATGTTGGCTATGGAAAGGCTCAGATAAAGGTGATGGGAATAATGCACAGCTTGACTTCGACTCAGGATTTCGCAAGCTAAGTAGCGGTGTCATTCTTGTTAATTTCTAGTGAATGGCGACAACTGTTCGAACATAGATACCTGAATATATAGCTGCAGTGGCTTTACATGCATTAGAAACAATCAAACGTGTCGTGACTACCGCTTCGGAAGCGGTGGTAAGACACGATATTTTAAAGAGTTGATGACCAGTTCACATATACTGTCGTAACAACACCCGGATAGGAACGCGGAGTTACCCCTGTGAGTTTATTTGCAATATCAATAGTTAGTCCTATTTCAGATCATTGTTTTACAGTGCTAAACACGCCCTTCTTAAGTGTAATAGACCCACCATTCAACTTTACAGGTGATCTGATTTTATACGGGTAATTATGGTTTAGTTATGAGTTGTAGAGATCGGAATTACAGTTTGAGTGGAGCCACGTTTATAAATACGAAATGTGAGGGCCACCTAGCCCTGAATAAGGACGGCGTGAATGAAGAGTGCTCGGACCAACACGTCTGAATAAAATGGAGACTGAACTGAGAGTTACAGTATATAGTTGGTATTAAAACACCTATATCCTAAGAACAAAATGTTGTGGTGTCGACTGACCTGACTACAGTTCAGATAAACGCGTGAATATGATACGAATATACACCTCTTATTTAACCCCGTATAATACCTAGGTTAACTCTTTTCGTATGATGGTGGTAAGAAGAAGCTTAATACGGATGTTGTTGGAGGAATTTATTCCAGGCATTCATTTAATCAGATTCAAAGTGAGAAAGAGGAGCGCAGTGTAGGTGAGTGAGTCAACTAGATCTAGCCAAGCGTGCGTCCATTAGTATAGTCTAACAAAACAAGCCAAACATAATATGATTGGGATAAGCGATATACACACATATGCTTACATAAAAAGCCAAGGTTGATGAGAGAATAATTTACCAAGTCAAAATGTAACTCAAAAAGAATGATTAAATACATCTGTCTGGGAGCTAGAACCCATATGGGCTTGACGAGGTAATAGACACTACGATGTAGGGGTTGGTCAGACATTTTGCTTAGTAAAAAGAGTCACTAACAGGTTACGTCGAAGTAGTCTGAACTTAGCCGGAGAACAATGCCTACATACTTGACGTCAACACATCTCAAGACTCTTATGGATTACGATTTTCTTGCGGTGCATCGAGTACATGACGAATCTGACCACGTAGAAAGAAGATATGACAAGTGTACAACTAGGTTGTACGGTTTGTCACTTAATATCAGTCACGCGCTACATCCTAACCAGGTAACAAACGTAGTGTCCAGGTACTGGCCAAGTGGGTTTATTAACTTTGTTTGGCCAAGTTCGGAATTTACTTGCCATTGAAGGTGACTTCAGTAGGTATAGTATCCGGCTAGTGATTAGTTGAAGTCAAAAATTAGTGAACATGCAGAAGATATTTGACTTCAGATACTGTTTTTACTAAGATTCTCTTCAGGCTTCAATATACGATTACACCTATATCCATATACGAGATCATTAAGCCAATTAAGACAGTTTATGGGTCAGTGGAATATAATAAATAAAAATGAGTAAAAGAAGTGGAAATTGATAGTGTGATGACAGGTGTACTAATCTAGAACAATGTTGTTAATTCGTAGAGTGAGGATTTCTCAAATTTTATGAACTACTTATGGGCATGGTCACACTTAGAATTTTTCGAAAGCACTGGAAGATGGTACAGATCAAATGCAATCAGATAAACCCAAACAATCCCAATTAAGTAAAAAGAAAAGACAACCTACTCTCAAACATAATAAATGCATAAAAACGAAGACGAGCGTAATTTAGAAATGTAGATTTGATGCTGCATTAAAAAGAATATCGTTAATGCATCGAAAAAATGTGACAAGATGATAGTGTTTGACGAAGAAGCAAGTGAAATGAAAACACTTAATAAACGGGACGAGCAAAATAAGACCGGTTATTGTCTTACATAGCATTGGTAAAAGCGAGAACGAAATTTGTTCTCCAAATAACCAATTTAATGTATTTTACAACTAATGTATAACATTTAACGAGAAGCTATCCTACGACGATTCCGTATGTGTATCCCCAACACACTCTGTATTTGATGTAGGGTCTTTAGGAGGTTCATCTTCCTTGACTGACTTTCGTTCTTCTTCCTCTTCTTCTTCATCGTCATTTTCCTCCTCATCTTCGTCTTCACCGTCTCCACGAGCATCTGTTGCTGACTCTTCTTTTGTAGAATCTTCTAACAGTTTAGCTTTGGCAGTTTCTAAAGCATGTTCTCTCTTCATATCAATTACATGGCTGGGGAGTCCAAATAAAGTTAGAATAGTCTGAAAAAGAAGACAGTATGTTATCAACCGTTGGAAGTATTGTATAAGCCATAATTTTGAAGCCAATGAGAAAATGCGATCGCAGAAAATAGTTAATGAAAAGTTCACTGACTGAATAATGAAGCAATCTTTACACAAACCTATATATAGGTTATACGGAATGAACACAAATGCGAGAAATGTGAGTTCCCCTATACACAATCGAGATGTTTTGTAGATAGTATGTTTACTTGTTATTCACGGAAAACAAGTGTCGTCTATTGAATGTAGAGACATCGAATTTTTTATTTGATCAATGCTGCAACCACTACTAATTTTATGGTCATCTTGATATTTTTATCGCATTGGGCTGATGTGATGTCCCAATTTCGGCAAATTGAATAGTTGTACAAGACTTATGTTTAATTTAAAAGTAAATGTTACCAGAATTACATATGTTTAGATATTGATTGTTTAAAATAGCTAGAATAGCGTTTTAACAATCAACCCTCATGAATTCAAGATATGAATTCTTTAGTGATTAATAACTACTGTTCTTGGCTAGAATTCCCAAATGTTCGATTGAAATAAAATCCTGAAGTCACATAACATTTAGAAGTGTAACAAATAGAAGAAAATGATAATGACACGAAAAATACGGGTCGTAAGCTGAAGAACTCAAATAGGTTTAAAAACAATTCATGAACTAATTCTTAATTGTCTAGCTATTTCAATGAACCAATACAAGGAAATATAATGGGTCTAAAAAAGAAGCTTGAAAATTTAGCGGATTAAAATGCACTTTTAACGAATCACAACGATTCTGTAACGTTATCTTACGAAATCAGAGTTGACTCCATGTGAAATATAGTATTCCTTTTTTATAAAGAACATTAATGTTTAAACAAACAACTAAGTAACTAAACAAACTTTAATTACTTAAACTTGGAAGTGCTTGAGATCAAGTCATATGATATTTATTTATTGATGACCTCTCTAAAGATAAATATATCCTTTCATTAATAAAAACTGCATAATGTGCTCATAATCTTTGTCACGAAAAATCGTGCAATCTGTAATAAGGTATGTAGTCATATACTCAAAAACAAGTTCCAACGAAATGAAAAAACCGATACTAACGTGCATGTATATATATATATATATATATATATATATATATATATATATATGAATCATCGGTAACTTACGTAGCAATCTCTATAATCGATCCTATGACGATCAGCACGCGATCGAATACATTTTTCTAAACTTTTTTTCCATGAACGAATTCGTGGATGAATATCATAGTATTTAATTGGAAAGTGTTTTCGCATATCATCATAGCAAGTAATACGGAAACCACAAACACATAAATGAAAACCTTTTTCCCCGATAATTCTTGCCAATTCCTGTTAATGGAGAATGAAAAGTAAAATTACGTTAAAAACCCCAGTCTATCAACACATTTAACAAGAAGAACGTTCAGTTTCTTTGAATAAGTTAGTGTCAATTTGCTGTCCCGATGAAGGTCTCCTTGTATACCAGTGTGACAACAATTGGAATTTTATCACTGCTCGTTTTAAAACACATCAAAATGATTCTTTTTACTATTATAGTCAGTATGACAGTTGAAGACATACGTAGTCCAGTTTCAGTGAAATGAAAGTGAACAGAGAAACAAAAAGAATACAAAGTTATTTTTGGTGTTCTTTTTAGACAAAAGTTAAGACGAATTCTGGATAGACCCTTGTAAATTTTAGTTTTTATAACATAAACATGCTTATAGATAATCCACAACCGTTAGCAAGGAAAAAAACTGTTAAACTAACAGACTGATATCATCAACTGATTTAAATTAGACATATATTGAAAACCAGGAGGTATTAAGAGCAGTAACCTAATGGTCAAGCTTTCGTGCGTGGGACCCGAACTCCCGGATCCGGTCCTCGACGGGGTAGTGAATGTGTACAGTGTTGAAGAGTCCATTAACAAGATAAAAAAATCACACATTGCTTCTTATTTCATGTCTGTCTAACTCGAATCAGTAGTTCAACATATCAACAACATCCAATAATCTACACAAACCTACATACTGATTAAGAGAATACAATACGATATGAATAGTGAGATCGATAAACGAAAAACTGGCTCACTTTACTAGCTCTGGACTGACATGTTTTCCATACAGCAAAAACCGAATCGGATGCAGACAATCTCATTTCTTCTTCAAATGCAAATTCCTCCAAATTAAATTTCTCCTTATATTTCTTTTGATGTGTATGAGTACGTAGATGATTTTCTATATCATCAGCTCCAATTAAATCCGCTTTACAGAGTGAACAGCTATATTCCAAATCTCGTGTATTGTATACTTGCTAAAAAATAATAGGAGATAAGGCAGTAGATTGTAGTAGTATGGTGTAAAAATAAGATAATTCCTTCAATAAGGAGAAAAATCAGTATTATTTGGTGCATCTATTAAAAATGAAGAAATTCAATAACACACTACTGTGGCATATACTACTTATGTTAACAGATATAAGTAATATGTAACACCAGTCAGAAATGGAATGCTTGTAGAAGACTGAGAAGATTGAATTGAAGAGAACAGAAACGTAAACAAAGAACAATGATAATGACAACAGAATTAAGAATATTATGAAGCACGTAAAGGATGAATGGATGAAGATGTGCAAATAATGTATTTAACGTATAATAATTTTGCATTAAATACACAAGTGAGTTCTTGTTCACTATACTATTGCTACTTAAAAGAATTGAACAGAATATCAGCTGGGATTTAATGATCAAAAACTACATATTTAATGAATTGACGAACATTTTTATGCTGGAAACTTAATTGTGATTTATCTTCTTCATGAAATAAAAATGATTAGAAAAGAAACAATTGCATTATCCTACAAAAATAACAAACACTAACTATGATGAATTGAGCTTTATTTTATCAACAATAATAAGGGATATTGATTTTTAATCTATATCAATGATTGAACATTTTTGCTATTTGTATAATTATACTGATTTGTTTGTCTTTAATAACTAGATTTATAACGAAAGAAAAGGAGAATGGTACTGCAACTTTAAAAGACTCTGCTGTCAACAAGAAAAAATACAAAGTAAAAACTTTTATTTACTTATTTGTTTTATTTTTGTTCTGAAAAAGGTGACTTACCTGAATATTCAAAGTTGTCTGTGCATAAATTGTTAATTACACCACAATCTCATGATGTATGTGAAGAGAGAAAGAGGGAGAAAGAGAGACAGACAAAGAGAAGTTTAACACTTCGATAGCCACACACTGTATTCACACTTCCACATTTAAATGGACTGATCCAATGTTTTATCGATACACAGAATGTTAATATTTGTAAATGATACTACGACTCTATGTTGCTATACATTTACATATATATGTATACATTAAAATAACTTTACTTTTACACAGATTAACGCTTTTTCTCTGTTGTTGAATGGAAGGACACAATAATCCAACACATAAATGCGCGGATGACCAAATATTCTCTAATAATAAATAAGAAAAGTTGGTAAAATTTGTAGGTTTTACAGCTAACTATAAAGTCTATCTTTGTGTGTGGATGTAATGATTACAAACTAGACAACGCAAGTCACCTTGAAGCAACTCGGTCAAGTTGTAGTAGCCCATGATAACTAATTAAAGGTTATCAGACGTTTGGCTGATTATAATTATCATCTCAAGTAACCCAGGATATTCAGTGAGGCAGTCAAGAATCAAAGTTTTCGGTGAATGTTGTTCACATTCAACCTACCTCCTGAATAAATTCCTCGCCAACTGGATTTGGTTCTTGAGAGATTAAATGTTTCAAGTCGAGGAATTTTTGCAAAAATGCATTTCCAGCATCCAATTCGACTTCCTTACAGTCTCCATAGTTCCCATATGGAACAGAGCAGTCTGGAAGAAATTTAAAATCAAAAATTTAGGATAAATGACTGACTGCAGTAACATAATGATCAACAAAGTTTATGAACAAACTAAGAGTAACGACACAAACTGATTTTACGACACCGACAAACTCTACACATCAGATGATTTTTCAAATACTTTAGAATAAGCGATAAAACAAATACTATAATCATTCTTTTTACGGATATTTGTCAGTTCACAAAAAGAAAACATGAAAATGCCAATATTGGAAAATTCATGTTGGTCTGATATGCTTACAGGTGCAAAGACCACGAAATTGTCGCTGAGGCTTAGAAGATATAGTTTGTGGATTTGAATCACACAATGACTGAAAGGATTTCGTATGAAAATCGGTAGCAAGCAACTTGAATATAATAAAATATAGACCAACCGACCTCGAATCGTGAGATTCTACAGTACGGCTGTGTAACTGGATTCAATGCTTTGTAGACTAGTGTTACATATACAGTAATACTTACAGACTAAACAACTACATGAGAAATGATTAAATTAGATTCTAAGTTAGCCTTAAACAATAAATACGCACGACATTCAATAAAAACAGTAGTAATTTGCTTCTTAAAAATGAAAAACTTATTATTTTCGAAGATAAAGGACTTACCTTTATTCATATATAATGTGAATGAACCCAATGGATCATTAGCAACTTCTTCCGGTGTCTTTTTCAGTTGTCCTCTTAAAAGCCGAGCAACTCTACAAAGACGTTTATGCTTTTTCCACTTTAGATGAGCATAAAAGTGGCGACCATTTTGAAATGTTTGTTCGCATACGTCACAATAATCTGTACGTCTTGGAGCCTTTTTCTGTTTTGAACAAAAAGAAACAGTTTATGATAAATATCAATTGTTAAAATTAATCATAGTACGATTCAACAATAAATTTTTATGAAATTCAATAGTCAATAACGAATCTACACTTAAAGGGGTTTTGGTTAAGCATTGTACTTGTTTCTTGAAAATACTTTTTTAAAAAAAAACATAAGTTGGTAAATGCAATACACAACCAGTTACAAACATGTGAAATAAGGTCCCAAAAATCCTTCATTGTGTGAAAACTCATCAATAGAAATTTACTTGAAATCGTTTAATTATTTGCAAACAGATCAGAAAAATTGTTAGTTCGAAATGAACTATGTTAATATGAATTTAAGATTAAAAACGTGACACATTTTTTAACGAAATGAAATGACATTTTTAGCCTAAAAATGTTCAATTTGATAAGAATCCCATGAAAATGATCATACTGCAGTACTGTACTGACCAGCATCGCAATGACACCAAAGGTAACATGGATCAAGTATACACCACTTTGACTTTTATAATAAGACAGATTCTAATTAGACAACATAAACCAGATAAATGGACAATCGATGATTTACTTTAATGTGTGTATAGCTATCCACTAGTTTTGTATAAGTACTTCAAACTACGATAGTACTGAATACATTTTGTATTTGAGATCACTAATTGATAGATGATTAAGTATGATATGGACAATCAATAAAAAAATGTTATTCATATATTCGTGATTAGCTTTCACATCACGTAACAAGTCTGCACCGTCATCGAATAATTTCTTTTGGAGCTGTTTATCAAGATGTCATTAATGATAAAATCAAAGAGAAATTATACGATTAAACAATCTCCTCAGTAGTTTGTTACGTTACAGAGGTGACTGTACATCATCATTAAACCTTAGGCGTTTTTGTATAGGGATATTAATTCACTGATATTTTCAGACACAATCATTTTTAACAGATGAATGCATAAGAAAACCCCCATCCACATATTACTCTGATATTATGGAAAGTAAAATTGACTTTATAAATTCCTAATGATATACAAATTGTAACCACTTATGAAGTACAAATTAGTAACCCCGGTCAATAAAGCTGAGTAGCAATTGTAGTGATTGCAATTGCAACTAACAAGCTGTAAAAACCCCAATTAGTGGTACGTATACCAAAAACAAAACTTAAAGCAATGAACAGTTAAGCAAACTACAAACCAATAGATGTGAAATGAGATTATGATAATCATAAAAAATCGTGACATGTATTTCACTTACAGCTTCTCCTTCGTCTGACTCATTTTTGTTACGATCAGACTTTTTCATATGTCCCTCTGCTGTGATATGATCAAGATATTGTTCTTTTCTTTGAAATGATCGTTTACAATCTTCACAGTAGAAATTAGGTTTTCTGTTTCTGTTCTAAAAATACAATAAAACTAATTCCTAAAAGAGTGTGGTAGAGCAGATTAACTATTAATACAATTACATGAGGTACTGATTCGAAATCCTAGAGGAATCGATCATGAAGTCATTGTTAAAATAGTTTGACATGATATATAATTATTTAAGTTTATGATGGATGCACAGTTTAGATTATCAAAGACGACTATCGAAATCTATGAATAACACTGCACTAAAAATGATTTTTGGAGTTAATTTATGATTGAGGAACATAAATGCTCATAGTACGATACATATATGGGTTACTAGCATTCATCCATTGGATTTTAATCTCGAGAAACAAGAATGATTGAAATGGGTTACATATAAACAGTTACTAACAGGAAGAAGAATAGATGTCAGAATGATTTATTTTTCATTTCGATGTGAAACCGTAGTAATTCAACGCTAGAAACTTCCAGCGATAGTCTATAACCGATTACAGGTAAGTTTTTCATTAGTTTCAATTGTTTGGAGTTCTTCTTACGTTGTATTATCTAGTGTGCAATGCGGCAATTTGAGCCGATTTTGGTTTTGTGAACATTTGTAACCAAGTGAAAATCGTCTGCTAGGTTTAGAGACACGTTTTGATGGTATCGACACCACCTAATTATTCAAACCAACATACGAAAATGAAATGCGTAAACTTTACAACTGAATAAATATAAAATGAAATGACTTACATTATTTCTGCGGTAGTCACTTCTAGACTTTCCCTTACCCCTTCTATCTTCAGTTGTATTAAAGCTACGTTTAAAATTACGGATGTGCCTTTCAGTATCCAAATGTATGGAATAAGTGTGCTCATCCGTGAATGCTACATCACAGTATTTACAATATATTCGTAGTTTAGGTTTTCGATTCTAAAAAGACAGTGAAAACAAATAGTTAAATCTGTTTAGGTGAAATTTTAACTACTTATTTAACAGGTAAAAGTATGTGTACTAAGTTTAGTGATTCTGGGCGGAGGGTTAGTTGTACTACAACCCGGTTATCCAAATACAGTAACAGTAATATTTGAACCTGGAACTTATTGGTTGAAATTCAGGTTGCTTTGGCCATTGAGAAATAAAACAAGTGATCAAAAGAAATTTTAAAACAAAACCATTTGACAGAACAGATTACTCATTCAATTTATGTAAAAATAAGTAACATAAAAAGAGCATAGTCACCTAAAGCTCAATAATAGATATTACAACAAGCGACAACTTTAAAGGATTAAGTTGTACAAATTAAAATCTATCTACTCTGTTCTCATTACAAAAAAATATAACCAGTACTGTTATATTTATTTATCCCCAAAGTTGACTGACTTTGTTCCTTGTGAACAATAATGAAATAATACTATAAAGGTTAAACTAAACTAAACTGGAAAGGCTGTGAAATTCCAAACTAAAGGTTATCAGCATATATGATCAAATTGTGACCCCTCCTAAAAAAAATAGAGATTTTTGTAAAATAGGTTAAATAAACGAGTCATCGATTCCGTGCAAAATATACATTTAGCTAACATTTATCGAACTCAAGAATTAGCTAAGTACGCAAGAACTTTCATCAAGTGGACACTGAACAAAACAATGTTAAATACAACATTGAAATCACTAGAGTCCCAATATATTAATAAATAAATAGCGCTGAGAAAACTTGACAGCCTTACACTACTAATGCATAACAGGACAATGAACAGAAAGATTGTTTATTAAGAGAAATTACAAAGGGTTTGCATTAATCCTATACAGCCTTAGATCATCTACTTGCATTTCGCGGTGTGTTCTAAAGTTCAGACTGTCCTGTCGTCTGGTCATCAAGTGTTTTGCCTACGGTCATGCCTTCGATGTACTGAAACCATTCCGTCTGACGAAAGTAACAACTTCGAGACCACGTTCCGCAACATACTACTCGCAATCAATCTTGTGAGTAGCGTCCGGCACACTAACACAATACAACACATCATTTCTATTCCTTCATAGAACACATAAATAAAAACTTTATGCAATTGAAATCTAAATCTGAATGACTTTAGGCATTATTAAATAATAAGTGTTAACCACTAAATCAACAATTACTTGTTCAAGTATAGGCGTAGACGGAGGAGGTTGATATCGTGGTTGACTATTGATTGGTGGCTCACGAGAATGATACCAATAACTTGAATCATGTGATGGAGTTTGGAATTGATTCCCACCTGAAAATAAAAAGATAAAATTAGTTTGTATGAGATGCAAAGAGTAAAGGTAGATGACGCATAAAATGAAGTTTGTAAAACTTACAGTATGAGAATGTGGAGAGAACCAGACACATTAAAACAGAAGGAACAAGTAACCTAATGAATATTACTTATGGTACATAGTAAACCTCTGACAAGTTTACGTTTGAAGAAACTAACCCTAGATTACCCATCAATGTGACATACTTCTCAAATATTTATTAATTTTGGGGTCGTAGAGATTAATGAGGTCACTAACAGGCCGAAGTTAGATAAGCAGTGAAAATTTGGAAGGACTGTATGGAAGTTTCGTCCTAGTATGGGACTACGCAGTGAGAAACCACGATCCCACCACACAGGATTGAACCTAATAACATTCGGTTTCGTATGCGAACCCTTGAACTCCAGACCAATGACAAGGCATCCAGTGGTACACAAGTCTACTTTTATTCAATCCACGATATTGCACGACTACCTTCCAATATATTTGGTGAGTAACTCCAGTGATCACGGTTTCTTACTAAAACTCCGGAACCCCCCCCCAAGCGTGTCACCAGTAAGCACATGATTTTTAAAATCTTTGCGACAGAAACATGAAAAACTGGTAAGAATTAGTAAAACTGAATGATAATCACATTAATCCATATAAGAACTTTTAAAGAAATTTATTGAATATGGTAATTTGTAAGGAGGCTTATGCTGTTCGCTTGGACAAAAGTTTAACTGGATTCGATATAAAAAATAGTTATTTCAATCACAACGTGCACGAGATTATCTTTCACTGTATTCCACAAGGGGAGCGGAAGGTAACTATTAGCTTACTTTATTTATAAAGAAAAGACCTCGTATTTAAAATAACATTCTTATGATGAACTATGACAGGTGAATTATGTTAAGGAAATCTTAGATGTAAACTACCTTTTAGAATAATCGTATAAAAAAGATCAATGGTAAAAGCTCACACAAAACAACATTGAAATTTTTCTGATCACGGCTTTTACAGATGTCAATAATATTCTAACATGACGGAGGACGTAGTCACATCCAGTAAACGACATTGCCTGAAAGAGTTGTATTCACTGCTTCCAAATGCGAAAAGATGAGACTGGATATAAAACGATGTGGTTAGTTTGAAAAAGAAAAGATCTACTCTTACATGAGTTGGAAAACCTTAAAGCTAAACAAATATATGTCTACTCGACCAAGTAACATATCAGAGCAAAAGTTAGAAAAATTGGGATTATGGAAAAGAATAGAGGCAGCTTACCCCATTGACCACTATAACCAGGTTGGGTAGGTGTAGAATTAGTAGAATATCCATACTGACCATTAAAATCATTAACAGGCGATTCATAATCTTGTACCTAGCAAAAAGTTCAGTGAAATTCGGATTTAATTGAAATTTCTATTTAAAATTATGTTTATAATTGAGTGGATGTACAAAGACTATCTGATGGAATATTAGGACCTTATTTTCTAAACCTTTGCAATCACTGACAAATATACTTATATATATCCTTACTAACTACCTTCTCGTGGTGGAGGTGTTGTTTACGAAAATGAGAGGACGAAAAGCGAATGTCCGGCGATTTAACCGGACCACAAACCAATGGTGTACATGGGCTTCAGTATCCTGAGGGAACAAATGACGTATGAACCAATTTTTGGTCACCGGCTACCATGAGACTGCATCTCCTTACGATGCTCCACTGCCTTGTGGGTTAGACGTTCAGGTCGAAGGTTCGGGGTGTGACCCCCCAAGGACACCACCTGCTTCGGTCTGGGCACCCGATGTGCCACCTAGCGTCCTACTTCTGCATCTCAAGCCTAGACTCAGATTGATCACATCGCGATCAGCTACTGCTGGCGTGGTTGTGTACAAGACTGCCGCTCCTTTTGGAGTACCTCACTAGACTCTGATTATAACCTGGTCTGCGCCAATCTTACCTTACTTTTCAGTGGCCAACGACGTGACCGCCACTAAAGGATTGATGTCTGTCAGTCAGTTGCAACGTAGGACCAGGCACATATATGCATCGGTCCAAGTTGCCATACTGCATTAGCACAAGATGAACACCGGATTCATAGAAGCGGTTAATTCAGTGGTGGTAATATATAAAAGAACGATTACATATAAGGATATGATACAGGAAGAATTAGTTCGAAGAAAGAAAAATATGAAGTGGTTTTTCTTGGCCTAAAAGCAGCGTTTGACTCTGTTGACCGGGAGGTTCTGTGACAGTGTTTATCATTCAAAGCCGTACCTCAGAAGTACATAAACCTTGTGAAAGCTCTTTACTCGAACACTACCAGTCGAGTCAGAGCTTATAGCGAACTGTCATATGCTTTTGCAACCTCAAGTGGTGTCCGTCAAGGCTGTCCACTTCCTCCATTTTTGTTTAACTTCATCATAGATCTACTGATGGAAATAACGCTCTCATCGACTGAATTCTCGGGCATTGATCTCTTACCCGGAGCTAGCTTCTAGGCTAGTTACCATTCCACCGAAATGTATAAATGAGCATTGGTTGCAACTTCATGACGCCAGCAAAATGGCGAGTGAAGCCACTTGCGGCTTAGCGAAACGTCCCGCTTATAAGCACTAGTTTTCTTCTAGTCCCTTACAACTCAATAAAGACCGTCGATCTACTCCGGGTGACCGGGAGTTTGACCACGACCGAAGATGTTACGTAATTAAATCGGGCAAAGCTTGCGTAAGGAACAAAAAGCCTGGTGGTCGGAGCGTGCTAATGAGCTGGAAGCAGCAGCTGCATCTGGTAATTACCGGAAGCACTTCCAACTCATCCGAGCAAAAAGTATGGTGTGAGCGAAACAATCTGCGAGGATGACGGAACGCCAATCACTAACATCCATCGACGTCTTGGACGATGGGCAGAATTCTTCGGAAGGCAGTTCAACTGGCCTGCCACTCCGGCAACATCGGTCAGACTGTCCTGCCCACCATGGCCGGCGACGACTGATTCACCAAATGATGTGGAAGTCCACAAGGAACTCCAACTCTTGAAACGCTACAAATAACCGGGCCCAGATGACTTACCTCCGGCTCTTTTTAAAGATGGTGACTTTCTGACTAAGGGATTGACGACGTTGTTTACAAAGATCTGGGAACTAGAGTGTACCAACGTCATGGAATGAGTCGATAGTTGTCCCTATCTTTAAAAAGGGTTCACGTCGTTCCTGTAACAACTATCGGGGGATAAGTCTACTTCCGATTGCGTCCAAGCTATCGGCTTCCATCATACTTCGTAGATTGTTCAAAACCCGAGAAAGATTAACTCGCGAGGAGCAGGCTGGTTTTCGTTCCGGTCGAAGATGCATTGATCATATCTTCACACTCCGCCTGTTAGAACACCGCCATACTTATCAAAGGCCAACAATCGTAGTGTTTCTTGATATGCCAATCTGGGCCATCTTTGGCTCCTTCGTGATGTTAGTCAGGCTGTAAAAGGTCGGATCAACAACGTGTCGGTGAGAGCAGTTTTGCTCTATGCTTGTGAAACCTGGCCTCTCCGAGTTGAGTATGTTAGGCGACTCTCTGTGTTCGATCATCGCTGTCTCCGAAGGATTGCTGATATCCAGTGGCAACACCATGTCAGTAATGCAGAGGTTCGGCATCGTGTGCTCGGGCACAGAGACGATAATGCAATCGGTGTCACCATCTTGAAACACCGACTTCGGTGGCTTGGATATGTTCTACGAATGTCGTCCCAGAAAATTCCACGTCGTATATTATTTGCCGACTCTGGGAATGGTTGGAAAAAGCGGAGAAGCGGTCAGTGTATCACATGGTGTCGTGGTATGAAAGCTGCAAAGGGCTAGCTTGTGTTGGTCCCTTAGGACTCACTGGTTGGGGCCGTAGGGAAGGTGCAACACAGTGGCTAGAGATGTTATCAGATATGGCTCAGAATAGAAGCCAGTGGCTATTCTGCTGTAACCTTTTACTTTCTTCATAAAAAGTGGTTGCTTCTTCTTTAACTGAAAGATTTCTTCTGATTGTACCTTTCCGTTTCCCCTATTATTATTATTATTATTATTATTACACGACCTTAAACTAATCTGTTCGTTATTGTTCTTTTTTTTTACGCTGCCGACCTTTTTTTCTTTTCCTCAAATTCTTATTGTTTTGTGTGGCGCATATATATTTGGTGCCCTCTTGTACCAATATTTGTGTTCAAATAAATAAATAATCCTTTCTATTCACTGACACGTTTTATATCAATTGTAATATCTGCTTTCTTGATAAGTCCGATTTTGCGTTTTAATCATTTCAGACACTGAATATGCAAGCTAAAAAAAACCACACCCTCGAGGTGCATATAATATCGTCAAAGAGATTTTAAAAAGAATTAAGACGTGGATTTCAGTTTTTTCAAAATTGTTATTCGGTTGGGATTCATCTGACTGGTAAACTTTCCCATACAGTTTCGTGAAGGTACGTACATTAAATGTAAATTAAATAGTGGAGACTAAACTGAGGATGACCCTACAAAGGATGAGCTATGAACTATAGACATATCTTAAGCAAAGGTTGAGTATTATGAAGATTGTATATCAATGTGTAACAACTTGGCTCCCAAACGTTTCTATCGTAAATTCGATCTGACGTCATTTTTGTCACGAAACTAAGTGCATGAACAACCGTGATTATACAATTTTCCTAAGATTCAACCAGTATTTTGACTATATCATACTGCATGTTTTTGTAACCCATACTCGGTTTTGAACGTGTTCAAGAGTGTTGTACTATTCATTAAGAGACATGAACAATGAATCAACTTACGATGCACAAAGAAAACAGTCAAGTGCTAAAAGTATGATCCTAAGTCGTAACAGAATTTATCTTACCCTCAATGTACCGAACAACCGACTAGATATGGCGGCTGCGAAAAGTCGATAGAATTGAATATCGACTGTAAATGGTGGAACACATGAAAATATGGATATGCCACAACTTATCTGAAAAAAAATTGTTTCTAAATCTAAACCTATTTATTTTTAAAACGAATAAGTATGGTTTTCGAGGGGCTCGTCTCTTCAGTATGACGTATTATTGTACATCACAACGATTGCTAGGAAAGCGAAATTACTCACAAACACATTTAACGATCGTGCATTTATTAAATTTAACTGTTTATACAACTTACCTGAGGTCCCATATAGTCAGTGTACGGAGGGGGATGCTGGTTAGTCGATTCATAACCATAGGTATATTGTGGCTCTTGAACAGGTGTATGCACTTGGTTTGAACCTAAAAAAAGTTTTTACAAATCACAAGTGCTGAAAAGACAAAATTTGGAGATACTGTCAATCCCTACCGGTAATACAGCCAATAGGTTTGGATATGTTAACAGCTAATTAAGCTATGCAAGGTATCAGAATTAATCAAATATCAGTAAGATATGATGCTTGATGACTCACTTCAACCTAATGTGCTGCAAGCAATTATTTCATCGGTCTAAGAAACAACAGAGCTACAACGTAGTCACAAGTTAGGTTCTGACACAGAACGAAAAGAAAACAGGAAGTGACAACAGTAATAGTATTTTACTTGTACACCTGAATCATTCCTGTTGTTGGTGGTAAGGGTTTCAATACAACAGTTTTTGCTGAAATATGTATATCCTGTATGGAGAGTCTAGATATTGTCATTTAACCACAAGTATTTATGGTGAGGTTGGATGGTGGTCAAGAGTGGGGTCCAGGACAAGTACTTCGTCTCATTTAAAACTGCCTAAAGTAACCTTAAGAACCCATTGTAAGGATGACATCTCTGTACATGGCCGAAGTCGACAGTCCCGTAAATCAAGGGAGCTTTCAGCTTTGTTCGCCGACAATCCCTTTCCCAAATTACTATGTTGGGGTACACAGTAGTTAAACATAAATAACTTATGCTCTGACCGTTTCCGAAGGTTTACAACTTTATCAAATGAAGTGGTCAATAAGCACGATAATCTCTTTCATCCCTGAACTAGAAAGCGCGAAAGCAACTTTAATAAGAATAGAACTTAGAACATAATTTGTGTTCATATTTACTAAGACTGGTCTAGAAGCGACAAGTTAGCAACAAAACTACACCACCGAATGACGTATCAAGGATTTGTGTACTACGTCCAATCTATAGTTTATTCCAGAGAATCCTCAGAACGTTAATAGGTCCAACTTATGAAATGACTGAGTGCAAATCTAAAAAACGTAGACAACTCTTTACAACTTCCTTGATTCCTTACTATGGATAAAGCAGTACTTGTTTGCCTTCGATGTATCACAAGAGCCCTATTAAACCAGTAATTACTTGATTTCCGTTTTGCGAACTCCCTTTTCTTCAGAGAACTTGAGTGATATGCCAATGCCAGATTTTAGTCTTTTTTTCTATCCATACAGAGGAAAATTTGGAGCCCTGATTATAGCACCAGAAGTTAAAATGAATAGACTAAAGGAGCCTTATCATCCAGCTTTTGAGGAGTTAATCTAATCAGGCGCATTATAAACTTTAGTAACAAGACACATCCATGAAAAGGGTTTATTGCACCTATTTAGTGCTTGGAATTAAACAGTGAATTTTGTTGTAACGTACAGAAACACTAATGTATAGCTTTCCATGAGTACATCGGTTTAAGTTGCAATAATTTACAGCAACAAAAGATAAGAACGATGTTAGAATAAACCATAGTAGAAAAGGGAAAAGTGAAATAAGTCATAAATAAAACCATGATAACTTTGATAGATCGAGTCAAATGATTCCCATCATTCCGAGTCTGCATTTTACTACACAAGTGAGATTATTAGCTAATATTTTTTGTGGACTGCCATCTTTATTCAATCTGGAGACTCGGCTTTTGAAAACTACACGAGAATTCGGTTACTGAAAATGACGGGCTTGTTTAAGCCTTAGTACATAAGTAGTGGTTTTGTCCCTGAAGGATTTAGTTTTCGAGTCATTTAACCACACATCGGAAACCTGCTTCATTCACTTCGAGTGAATAAGCTGAGCAACAAGCTTCTGTATAAAAGTCTAGCTCAATTCCCAGTACATGATACTCCACTTGGTTGCCGCGTTGTACTATTTTTTTATGCCAACAAAGCTCTTGGACAAATGGCAATAAAACAGAGGATGAAATGGATTCGTACCCCAAGCATAATTTGGTTGCATCGGAAACATGTATCCATATTGTCCAGTATAATTGTTCATCTTAGAATGTTGTCTAAAAAAGAATAATTGGAAATGAACACAAAAAAATGATAGAGAGCCATGATCACAGAAGAAATAGGATGAAAGTATGAAGTTTGTAAATGAACTGAGTTGCAGTGTGGAAAATAGCAGTACGACCCAGTAATTCTACATCTGATCCAATCGGTCACCAACCACTTTATAAAGAAACCCATAAAATTTAGTTCATGAAAATTAATAAACAAGCTGCATTAAAGCCGAACACCATAGAACAAAATAATTAGTTTTAACCTATACATTTCAATCGTTAATCCGAAACCATCTTCATGCATGAACTTTTTAGTCTTGAACTGTTTCCTTGTCAAGACGTATCTCCCAGGACAATATATTCTTCTTGATCTCAGTACAAACACTTAATAATTAGCATAATTACCAGATGGTTCATAAAATAGACTATGGTTCCCATACATTCACTTAGATCAGGTTCAAAAATGAGGCGATGTCGCAAAGTGTAACTTCCCTTCTTAGTTTTTGTACAAAATAAAGTAGTATGACTTCGATGGGTTTTCGTTTGATCAGTTGATAGACCCGAAGGATTTTGTCCTAACATCCTGGTGCTTTAAGTCACATTAATGATCACGACTACTGCAACCATCCCTATACCTGTCTTTTGAAATATTTAGCCATACTGTGGTTATCCACAGGTCTAAAACTGTACTGTTCATCACCATAGTAACTGACATGCTATGATGAATTTGACTCCAACAGGTGTGTGGTCTATAAACTAACGCGCTCCTAGTACATCACAACTGGCTAAAATAAAAACATTTAAGATTTGAAGGGGAAAATTCTTTAGATGTGGTTACTCTTCCAAATTGTCTGTCACTAATTCGTGTCTTCCGCAAAAGTAGTTCGACAACTAAGGCATTTTCAACTTCAACATGATTAGTTCTATCTAATGACACACTTGTAAATTTCGCTGCCTTTTTACCACTCATGAACTGCATTACCACAGGTGTTTGCCCCTTCAAATACTCCAACTTCAAGGTTGTGTCAGACCTGTTATCCGAGAGGTCATATGATGCGACTATGTACCCCGATATTATCCGAACAAGGACTACTCTGCAAACTCATCCGATTGGAGTGCCTTAGTAAACGTTAGTTTTCCATGAGTGTTTTGTTCCTTGTATTTCTAACCATGCTGATATCATGTAGCAGGCAATGGTGTTTTTTGCATCCATGATGACTAGTATGCTTTCTATTTGTATCCCCACGCCTTATGACTCTTACTGACACACGAACCAGTCCCTCGGCTGTTGATTGAGACCATCGACAAGGTGAGAACGTCGTACATTGATGAGCAGAATGCTTATTGGAACTGGAAAAACCGACCGGGAGAAATTCTATCTTGAGATGAAATGAACTTAAGTTTAACAAGGTTAGGCTTTCATTTCCCGTCAATTTATCCGCTGGTACCGCCTACAACCTGATAGAAGTTTTACTATTCGCTCCTAAGCAATCCAAGGAAATTCCTTCAGGGAAGATGTGTGAGTACTGTTCTGGTAGTTGAGTGGAGTTAATACAACCAATAGAATTTGATCACCATTTAAGAATAATGAGGATGACATAGGCTTTCTCCAAGTGACCGAATAACTGGACCAACTGCTGCAATGAAGTGAAACGTACCGAAATTCAATCGACGCGATTTTCTAGGAACACAACATACTTTGAAACGAGTCGAGAACCCAGGTGGGTAAGACGTGCATTGTCAACCGCAATGTAGATGGTAGCTCTGGAGGCTAGCGAGCTGTCGATTAACATAACTATTTAGAGGACTTTTTGAATACTTACTGCTTAAAGGCAATTTTAAGTTTTCCAACAAAACACATCAAGTGAGTAGAATTTTCCCGTACAAGCAGTAGAGTTTTCAGAGGGCTTAGTGATCTGGCGAACTTGTATGGATCAACGATTAGTACATGTGATGGGTTTTAACACATTAAGTCAGTAAACCAAGTACTTAGAAATAGTAAACTCAGGATGGTGAATTGCTAGTATTGAGAAAACGGAATAATGACAACTCAAGAAAAATTACCAGCATCCCCACTATGACAGATCGAATGCGAAAGACAGTGACCGGCAAAGCAAACTACCTAATAGCGCTATCACTACTTTATTACAGGGCAATCTCAGCTCAAAGACTACATATTAGGATTTTTGGAGAATCACGGTTTCACAAATCTTCAGGTTGTGTGAGGAAATTCAGACATTAGGAGAAGCGATTATGTATCCCAGAGGCTTTTGAAAACTGCTGAGAAATACTCCCACACCGTTAGCGTTACGAATCAAATACACAAAAAGTTCTATGTCACATCCAATTACAAGTAGCTTTAGAGTATTGAGGACAATATGTCATATCAGTAGACCGCCTATATTGTTCAACCGTGGCTGACAGAGTAAAATATACAAAACATTAACGGAAATAAGCACGGCATCCCATGAACTATCTGTTAATTTTCTGACCTTAAATAACAAAATGTAAACCAACCCCAACAAATATGGAAACGAAAGTGAACCTAGGGATCTAGTTAAAGGCCATCTATTCAATAACCAATATTATGATCCCAAGAAATGGTGCAAATTCAAGAACTGTTGAACAGATGTACATAAAATGATAAACTTTTTCGGCTCAGTCTACTTTATAGAGACATTAAGCAACCGCTTAGCTTGGGTTGATACCAAAATATGTACCGTTCAGGCGCATTCAGTTTCATTTTGAGAAAGACGAGAGGCTTGGTCGCCTGTGTTAGTCCTGGCAAAGATGGTCTTTCAGTTGACCAAACTTTCTTTCAAAAAAGTTGACAGACGATGCGTTAGTTATGTGTTGAGGTGATGAATCCCACTCGTTGATGATCCGATGGGAAAGTTGGTAGTCAGCTGACAAGTAATTTGTCCCGTGCTTGTGAACAATTTGGAATGTCCTTGCAAATTCTCTGTCTTGGAAGACAAGAAAAATTAGGGCATTTCTTATACAAAACAATCACTAAGTAATTTGAAAAGTGTAATCAAGTCACCGTTGATTCTTTGATATGGCAATGGGAATGTTTAATTTAGCCAGTCGAGCATCATATGGAAGATTCACTATTTCTGGGATCAGCTTAGTTGCTGTTCACTGAACCTTTTCCAAAATCCCACTGTCTTTTTAAGCAGAGGCTGGCCTCTTGCATGCAGCAATGAAGTTTAGGACGCACGAATACTGTGTACAAAGTCATAAAGGCTTTAGAGTTGACATGGCTAAAGAATCTACGTACTGACTATAGGGTTGTTAAACCATTGGCGGCTATTGCACGGCAGTGTGCAGTAGTTTTTAAGTGTTGGTTGACGATGACTTCTAAGTCACTGCGTTTCTGGACAAAAGATAGCTCAATATTATTCATCGTGTGTGTATCTGTACCAAACTATGCACTGTTCAGACATTATGTACAGAAAAAAAACTGGGCACTACCTCTCTTAGTATCAGCTTCATAATCGTTGGAGGCAATTTCATGGTCTAACCTGAATAGCGAGATTTATCAACTTTCGATACTGTATGTAGTGACAGACCGCATATTCAAACACCTTTGTTTCGTTTTTGTCTTTCTTCTGAATCACACAGTCAAGGGACCGGTTTTCACCAAAAAATCTCTCTGCGGAGTACGAATTTACATTTCAGAAGTTTGGATGGTGGCACAAAACATGGATCCACTCAATCGTTTGTTATCTATCTTACTAGCAGTGCAAAACCCTGAGATCAATCTCCCTGTTTTCGATTTTATTTGACTGAATAATTATGAATTTTAAACTCATTTACCCACACACTACCAATAAATGCCCGTAATTTATTGAAATGCTAAATACTGAGTAGATAGTGATGTCTAATTAGGTAGACTGGTAGAAATGTGGGACTCTAGCTTATGTTGAGGTCTCACCTTGTGGTACAAAGGCCAATAAACCTCCAGAATAAGTGATTCCGACATCAGTGCTGCCCTCATTTGCTTTACTGGACACAACATGGTCTAACGCTCTCAGTTATACATCCGCACCAGATCGCTATTAGGCAAGCCGCGCTACTCACCCCTCGTAACAACTACTCAGCTTAGATCATGTATTATCTGACAAATCGGCTATCTTTTAGGCATATTGTGGTGTTTGAATGAACTAATAACTCCTTTGTACTTGTTGAATGTTTGATTTCGAATTCTAAATACAGTACATTCGTTAGTGCTTGTTTAGTACTTCTTGATTCAATTACGTTATCCCTGGGATTATTAGTTCATACTATAATTCAAATACTTCTAATTATCATATTGGCGTTGCGATGGGGCCTGCGATGGAACAGTTAGATATTCATTCGGATTTTGATGCTTATGAGGATTACTTTGAAAGGTTCGAAATCTGGGCTATGACCAAGGAAGATGATGAGAATATTAATATTGTGGCACATTTTCTCACATTCATCGGAAAAGAAGCATATAGCTTAATAAAACTTTTGGCTTTACCGGAAAAGCCCATTTCTCTTCCTTATACAACTCTCAAGGAAATACTTCTAGACTATGCTAAGTATACAAATTTCGAATGCGGTAAAGGGAGATTTCGTAAAATAATTCATGAGGATATAAAAAATTTCACTACATTACGTCGCCCCATCCCAGTGCATACTCAGGATTATGCAGATAATTCATTTGGGAATTGCGATGCAGTTGACGAGGATGGGAACAAGTTTGGTCGATGTTTGTACTGTGGCAGGTTCCACTCTTTTAATTCATGTAAATTTCGTAATTCTAAGTGCTTTGAATGTGGTGATGTTGGACATATTCGGTCAGTTTGTAATATTACTGTTCATCTTGCTGCAACTAATATTAAGTCTTGTGATTCTGATTCTATTAAGTTGAGTATTTATAATGATCATTTATCTTTATCGACGATTTCAAAAGACAGTTTAGAGTCATATAGCAGTTCAGAGTTAAATGAAACTCAGAATCCTTGCGAGGCAACAATTCCTAATCAATCAACCCATCAGATTTCTCATGTTATTGTACCAGATATGATTTTTCCTAATGATTCACATGTTTCTGATGAAATTTCTCACAAATCTGGTGAAAATATTTCGGATGAACCTAATCATGATCGAAAACCTGATGTAGTTTTGATTGATGCTGATTTTTCTAATGATCCTTTGCTCTGCAATGACATTCTTAATAAATTTGAGGAAACCATTTCAGTAGAATCAAATCTTGATGTCATATCAAATATTACTTGTCCTCACAATGCATTTGTTTCTTGTGGGAAACTTGTTCAGTGCGAAGCACGAGTATTAAATGAGCTCGATTCTGATTACAATTCAGATAATTCCATATCAACTGTTGTTTGTCCTTATCATGAATTCACTTCCGATGTTTACTCTAGTCAAATTGAGAAAGATGTTTTAAATGGAGCCACATTATTCATAACTTGGGGATATGAAGATCCGACATTATTTCGTGGGGGAGGATAGTCTGAATGTCTATGGTTGAAATTCTAGGTAGCAGTAGTTTTAGTACTCAACCGACATGATGATCATACACAATCCCAGGAAGCAAGTGAGTCTGTTCCGATTTCGGTTGTTAATTCTAATACTAATGAGTGCATTCTAGATAATACGGAGTCTTTATCCAATACATTGTCGGACAGACACAACACTTAGACTCCAATTTAAGCTGTGGCGGATGTGGTGTTTGAATGAACTAATAACTCCTTTGTACTTGTTGAATGTTTGATTTCGAATTCTAAATACAGTACATTCGTTAGTGCTTGTTTAGTACTTCTTGATTCAATTACGTTATCCCTGGGATTATTAGTTCATACTATAATTCAAATACTTCTAATTATCATACATATCTTCAATCTCCTCCATTTCTGACTTCTGATTTGACTGGCATCAGAATTAACTGCTATAAAGGTCTCATGGACAACAGCTTTGTCAAGATCTGAATATCCGTGACATCATTAAATAAATAGTTATCATATACTATTATATACTATACGACCCTACGAAACAAATAGATTCCTACCAAAACAATCTCATGTATTGGATAGGACATATCAGAGGGTTACTGACTGCGGACACACTGGCGTATGGGCTGAGCCGTTGTGTGTAACTTACCAATCTAGGTTGGTCATCATTAACCTTGATGATATTCGGCGAAAATATGTAACGTCTACCAATTATCCTTTTGGTTTCGGAACCTTTGTGGTAAACAAACACCCAAAATAAGGAGCGTTACCAAGCAATGAACATCCGTAAAGATACAGCGTGATGGGTGAGTGAGCCAGGGTTTTGTGACGTTTCGCCGACCACATAACGTAAGAGCTCAAGAGTAAATATGGTACTTGTTGGTATATTTTTGTCCTCCTATATTCTGAGTAAAGATAAAAAACGGTTGTGTAGTAGTTCACACATCTTCTGGGCGAAGACCAAAAAATAGCTGTAGTTGCTCTAGAGATGGAAGGATCGCAAGAATTTTTTATATTTGAATGCTTATATGCATTAAAAAATCTCCCATGTATGCACTTCATGTTGCTGTGTATTACTCTGTTCGTGTGTATAACTTTTGTTACCCTCTGGATTTATGTATCGATTAGAGAGTGGTATAACCCTATAATGATCCTTGATAATCTATTTCAGGATGGCAGAGGACTGAAAGATGGAATCATTTAATATTGATGGAATGAAAGCGTTATGAGGGAAAGACATTTTTCAGGGTCACTTGACCTCCTTTGTAGACGTTGAGCCTTTTTTGAGCTCTGAACTCCCTATTAGCTGTGTTGCTGATTTTACTTTCATTAGGCCGTACGATTTTTTCATACTCTGCCCAGGTATCAGATGTTTGCTTACTCGCACACTGAGCTACATTAGAGTGAGAAAATAGATGTCTCTCTCAAAAGAAATATAAATAAATTTTGTCTACCAAATTTATATTTACCCCCTCGTTGGGTATTGTAATCTCAGTCTTAGTTATTCTTACTGTTGTCGTATAGCACAGGAAATAGGTTGGATGTGGGGTTCAAATTTTTAAACAGAACATCATTTCACCACTCAACACAAGAATTTAAAAATTGTTATTTTTTAAATGATGTGATGAAAGCTCCCACTTATTATGGAGAGAGACTGCAAAAATGCCAACTTATGGGGGTCATATATATATGATGAAGACAAAATGAGTGGTAATAATATACATTCTCAGATAACGATGTGTCATATGAGGCATGCTAGTTTACAGACAAGATCAAATTGTTACAAATGCTGCAGGTTTTACTATAACAAGTCATACAATTAGGTCGATATGTCATAGAACACATCGGTCATATAGACAGGGAGTCGACTTTTATACACTGGAATAGTAATATTAGTAAGAATCTTATGTTCAATATGGGAGTTGGAGCACTACGACAAGTAATTGATGGTCGAGAATGAATGAAGTTGCAGTTCAGAGCAGTCATTCTAAGAAGAGAACTTTAAAATATAGTTCTGTGCTTTTTTGTGGTGACCGTAGGTAAATTCAGGCGGTAACAGTGATGGCACCAGGCGGTCATATGTTCCACACGTATTTTTGGTGCCGGTAGGTACCCCTTTTTTATTTATAGAAGAAACCAAACTGGTAGTAAGTAGGTCTTCATTTGGATCGTGTGACTGCACTTAGTGGAGCGCGGGGTTACTTTTACACACACACAACTTTTCAACATTCGGCATAAAATAATAGGAAGTATAATCCCTATATAAAATAAGGAAGAGAATGAATATTTGAGTTATAGTGTTCTGACATGTACTTAGGTGTTTTTGAATAACTCTTAATCAGTTGACCTGATTTGCTACATTAGATTCCTTTTAGAATCAAATTCTATATGAACGTTGGTCCGATCAACTGACTCGACAAAAACATGCCGGTTTGTTTCCACAGCTCAAAGGAGAAATACAGACTCCTTCGATGTTTGATTTTCAGTCATTGACGACTAACGGTCTGTCAGTATTCGTCAATAGTCTGTGGATCTCATACACCTAAATAGCTCGTCATATTATCTTGCAGCATTCATCCATAAATTATCGTTCCTGACTTGCTGAACGTGTCCTTTGTATGAGGATTGAGGGTTGTCAGAGAATGGAGGGCAAGAAAAGTAGACTAAGATGTCTGATGAAGTGTTGTGAACGAACTACACAGCTACAAGTTGTTGAGGCACGATGTTCCCGTGCTCTGTTCGGTCATCATGTGTTTACTCACTTACCACTTGAGTCACACTGACGTAAAAAATAAGGAAGACTCTACTTCGTAGAAGGAAAACAATTAAGGTCAGCCAAACCTGAAGAATCACTTCACTGTTTGTACAAAATGATCAGGTACAGGGAAGGAAATGTACAATTATAAGTGATAAAAGTTTGGTCCCACATAAGTGTTTGGTTTTCAAATCAACTTAGTAACCTGGAAAGAAATAGACAGTGTAGATATCTTGGGCACGAATATGCGTTAAAAGGGA